AAAAAAAAAAAAAAAATTAGGTCCTAGTCGCTGGATACATACCAAGAGATCTGGATCTGTCTCTCATGATGGTCCTAGATGGGTCAATATTTTAGCTGAGGTGAGTGACACAAAACAAAGGTGACTCATTACATTCCTTGTTTTGCAGTCTAAGACTCTCCATTTCTAAAGAATCTATACTCTGTACAGTTTTGGGGGAGGTTAGCAATAAAATTCTTGATTTAAAAAAAAAAAGACACAGCACCACTTCCAGTTCAGAAGTGGTGCTGTAGCTCAAGTGGTAAAGCGCTCACCTTGAGCTGAAGAGCTGAGGGACAACACCCAGGCCCAGAGTTCAAGCCCCACGACCACCAACAACAAAAAAATTATTGATTTTACTTCTGCTAAGTCACATTATTACTGTGATTTTATTAACATAAAAATCAAAAGTTTAAATTAAGGCCTATAGGTGGAGATGTGGCTCAAGTGGTAGAGTACCTAGGAAGCATGAAGCCCTGAGTTCAAACCCTAGTATTGCCCTTCAAAAAAATACAAAATACAAAAACGGAAGACCTGTTAAATTTTTAAAAGTTTTTTCTATTGTAAAGATACTGTACAGAGGAGTTACAATTACATGAATAAGGTAATGAGTACATATTCTTTTTTTGGGGGGGGGTCCGGTCATGGGCCTAAACTCTGGGCCTGCGCGCTGTCCCTCAGCTCTTCAGCTCAAGGCTAGCGCTCTACCACTTGAGCCACAGCACCACTTCCGGCTTTTTTGTTTTTGCTTATGTGGTGCCGAGGAATCAAACCCAGGGCCTCATGCATGCAAGGCAAGCATGCTACCACTGAGCCACCTTCCCAGCCCCTGAGTACATATTCTTTCCTGCATTGTTACCCCCTCCTTTGTTTTGCACCTACTATTCCTTCCCTCCCCACCTCCCCTGTTCCCCCTCCTGCCCCCCCCAAGTTGTAAAGTTTATTTTCAACATAGTGTCTTGTATGTATCATTGTTACAATGGGTCAACCTGTGTCCTTGTTTCAGCATTTTGTTATTTCCCTTCCCCTCCCCAAATTAGAAAAATGTATATACAAGATACAGGGCACTGGAATCAAATGCAGTGACAATAGGGGTTATACCATGAGGGAGGAACATACAAAAGAAACATTAAAAACAAGACCAATAAAGAAAAAACCTTTTGTGTCCCTATCTTGGGGTTCATTTTACTTAGCATCATCTTATATGGTCATATATCCATAGCTTTTGAACTTTTCTGCTTGTCTGGTAAGATTATCCCAGATGTATATTAGTTATTGCAAATAAGGGAAACTATGGGACCTATGTTTCTTTGGGTCTGGCTTACTTCACAATATAATTTTTCCAAGTCTTTCCATTTCCTAACAAATGAGACAGTGTCATTCTTTCTGATGGAGGCATACAGACCTGTTAAAATTTAAAATATCAGGTTAGCTAGTTGCTGATGACTCTTGCCTATAATCCTAGCTATTCAGAATGCTAATATTTGAGGATTGCAGTTCGCAGTCAGCTCAGGCAGAAAAGTCCATGAGATTCCAATCTCCAATTAACTATTAAAACTCCAGAAATTGGAGCTGGGACTCAAGTCACAGAACGTTAGCCTTGGGCAAATGACCTAAATGACAGTACATAGGCCCTGAGTTCAAGCTCCAGTACCAATGCAAAATAAAGTAATAGATCTGAAAATATAAATGTGTATGAAAATATATGCAAGACCATATGCATATTTACATAATCAAACAGATTATAGTCCTATGATGTTACTTCTTTAAATAATTAACTGATAGGTTAACAAAATAAATATCAGGAAGCTGAAATATGTTTTGTCTGAGGAGGATGGGACTTAAGAAGACAGGGGTGGATGAAGGGAAATCAAATTATGGGCCAATAAAATCATAGTACTCAATGTATATATACAAAAATGGGTGGGTAAGTCTGGGATAGATTGGGGGGGGGTGTATGAGGGAAAGGGTAACACTGATCAAATGCATTGTACCTATACACAGATAGATTAAATTGAAATCTCTTTATAATTATTTTTGTGATATGCCAGTAATAGGCTTGAACTCAGGCCCTAGG